GTGGGTGTGGGTGTGGGTGGGTGGGTTTGTGTGTGTGTGAGTCTGTGTGCGCGTGTGCGAGTGGGTGGTGGGATGGTGATGGCTGGTGCTGGTCCTGGTGGTCGTGGTGGAAGTGGTGGTGGTGGTGGTGGTGGTGCTGGTGCTGCTGGAGGTGGGTGTGTGTGTGTGTGTGTGTCTGTGTGTGTGTGTGTGCGGGTGCTGGTGCGGGCGCGGGTGCTGGTGCTGGCGGTGTCTCTGCGTGCGTGCAAGTGAGTGAGTCAGTCACACTGAGTGAGTGAGTGAGTGCGTGTGCTGCCGGTGTGTGTCTGTGTGGGTGGAACAAGCTTAGCTTTTAAACAACCGAATAAAATAGATAAATAATGAAGAAATTAAGTAAATTAATAATTAATGAATATAATAAATAAATACATAAATATAGTAAATAAATGAATTACTTAATTATAATAAATCAATAGAGATACAAACAAACAAATACAAACTATGTCTGGAACAATTCTATTAGATTGCCTGGCACCCTCCCAACATTGTAGATGTGAATCGAGACACCATCATTCCAGCTATCGTCTTCAATTTCTTGGGTGCAATCTCGCACATACCCACTGAGTCGTCCGTGGAGGCATTCCTTGGGATCCGTTATTGCAGAGAGACACTATAAACAGTTACATAGAAGTCTATGGCAAAGGACGAAGCATAATCTGTGTTCCGCAGCCAGGACACTGCTTCATGAGGACACGTGCCTCACACGCAGTGGATGACAGTGCCTGGGCTGCCAATTTATTATAAGTCTAACATTGACGCGGCCACACGCTCACCGACTTGCCGACGTGAGCACTCGAAGCTATACCAACTGTAGCACACTGCTGCTTTTCTGTGCAGGCTAGACTTGGGACAGGCTAGCTGTTGCAGCCGGCGGACGCAGGAGATCTGAACTGTGTTCAATTCACCCAGGACCCTGTGGTCGATATACATTATATGCGCAGTATCAGAATTCTAAGGTGGACTCAGATCTCGAGCATCCTTGAACCTCTGCTAGAGTGCAGGTAGGCACCGGTGGCCAAAAGCCAAGCGAGAGCAAGGAGTCAGTAAGATTTTTAGAATATGCATAAGGACGACGCAGCTCGCAAACCCGGTACTTCAGTGCAACAGGCAGGATTATGGAGCAGCGCTGAATCAACATCGTAAGAAGCCATCCTGCTTCACAACGGCTTCGTTGAAGCCACGACCCTAAACTCTAATACTAAACCGATTCCGAATTCAAGGACCCGCAAACCCTCAACCGAGCTTCAACCATCAACCCTCAAACCCTTTCATATCAGGACAAGCTAAGAGTATCTTCGAAATATACCCAACCATCAATACGAACCCCTTGGCTTAGATGCTGCACTGCTCCGATGAGAAGTTGGATTGCGAATCGAATGCTGGCCGCGAGCTGCTAGCGTCCGGAGGTGGGGTCCCGGGGTGTGGTTTGAGACGGAGGTTATTGGGCCAGCATTCGGACTCGGTTTGGGAGTTCCTGGGGCCCTTTTCTGCTCCTCTGTTTAGTCTCGGTTCCCTCCCCCCACAAAACCCCGGTTCTATGAGTCCTTCCTAATCAAGAATTCAGGATTCTGTGGGGGGGAGGAACCCCGACTAATAGAGACTAATAGTCCCTAATAGTCCCTAATAGTCTCCTACCCGGATTGTTGTCCAAACCTATGTATGCTTAGATAATTCTGGCTTAATAAGATCACCCCCCCCACCCCCACCATTCTAGCAAACCTTCAACAGAAGAGGTTCTTCAAAATGAACCGAAACCGAAGCCTTTCCCCTACTCGTGTGTAACGAGCTCATGCCTAAGCATACCTCTCACCTCCTATTATTTATGCTTGCACACAAGTCGGGCCCAGGAAACTTGATCATATATGCCTTCGCGCAGCGTCTGCTCAGGGCGGCATAACGGGCTTCTTGCGCTTGTTGTCCTTCTTGGGCTCTTCTGGCTTCGCCGCATCCACGTCCTTCCGCTTCCCGGCCGCTGCCACAGCAGTCGCATCCTTCTTGTCCTGCTCGAGCTTCTCGGCCGCTGCCACACGAAGCCTCTCGGTCTCGTCCTTCTTGTCCTGCTCGAGCTTCTCGGCCGTTTCCGCACGAAGCCTCTCCATCTCGTCCTTCTTGTCCTGCTCGAGCTTCTTCTCGGCCGCTGCCACACGAAGCTTCTCCAGCTCGAGCTTCTCGGCCGTTTCCGCACGAAGCCTCTCCATCTCATCCTTCTTGTCTTGCTCGAGCTTCTCAGCGGCTTCCTTCCGAAGCCTCTCCATCTCGTTCTTCTTGTCCTGCTCGATGCGAAGCCTCTCGGCCTCATCCTTCTTGTCTTGCTCGATCTTGGAAGCATCGGCCTGCTTCTCGCGCTCAGCTCTCTCCTGCTGGATCAGTGCCGTCTGTTCCCGACGGAACCTTTCCAGAGCTTCGGCTGATTCACGGGCCATCTGTGCCTGCATAGACTTCCTCCACTCTTCCATGGACTGACTATCATCCTGCAATGCCTGCACCGGTGGGGGCTGCGGCCGTGCCCAAGTCAGCTTGCTCAGCCAGCACGTTGCCTTGGGAGTTGATGGACTGCCCGCGAACACCTCGTCCTTGTGCTTCCCCTGCAGCAGAAGTGAAAGGAGAGAGAGGCCAGGTTTTTTTCAAGCTAGCGTGTGCCTGATTCTCTGATTGCCTTTTTTTGGAACAGAACACAGGGCCTTCTTGCACACCTCCAATGTCCAATCCTGAATGCCTTCCCGCAGCGGCGCAATCTCACCCGACCCCTTGTTCACGACTTGAAAATTCGGAGTTCCAGCGATCTGCTTCAGGACATAGCCAGCCACCTCGCCCTGCAGCAAGTGCAACACACACAACTGAACTGCCGAAATTGGAGACCCTAACCGAATCCCTGTTTTCAACTCGCCCGGGGAGGGTCCTCTGAAAGCATCATTGTAGCGGACTGTAATCTTTTGGTGTCAAAAAAATAGTTTGCGTTTTGCGGTCAAGACTATTTAAGGGGGTACTTCCCAAATCTCAGGGCACTTCTTTAGATCAACAGAATCTTAACCCAGAGGGAAGAGTGTGTTGGAAGTATGAAATACCTCGTCTAAGTCTCAGGATACGCTATGAGACTAAGAACACTGCAGAATCTTCCTACAACCCGAGCGCCTCGCTGTCGCTGTCAGAGCTGGAAGACTCAGGTGGAGGAATCTCTACCTTATCGCTGGGTGTGGGCTCGCCGAGTGCGGGTGGCGCTGGTCCCCGCGGCGGGGGAGGAACGCCTTGGCTGCAAATAATGGAAAGAATCAATCAAAGGATTTTAGAGGTTTAGGGTCTAGCTATTTTAGGGGTTTAGGGTTTAGGGTTTTAGGGGCTGAGTCTGTACTAGGCTAACTAGGACTATCGGTATCAGTCAGGTTGCCGCAACTGGTTTCTTATGAATAAAGCTGAGCTGGTTTGCGGTTGCGTCAATTTGTCGCATGATGAGGGGATTGATGCTTGGTCAATGCAGGAGATGTGCAACAACAAGCAATTGTGATGAACTCCAAAACGAAACCGGGTCACTGCTCTTGGCCGGGGCCATTCCTGGCAACGTCGCTGTCGGGGCATCCACAAACATGGCTCGGGCCATTGGGGGGGGTGGGGCGCCGGGTTCCGCAGGTGCAAGCGGTGGCAGAGGTTGAAGCGGTTTTGGTCCTGGTACTGGGGCTGACCCTGCATTGGAAGCCGAGCTTGGCAAGGGGATGGGGTTGGTGCCTTCAGGAACCAGTGCGGTGCTAGAAGCAGGGGCACTGAAAAACTTGACACAGTAGAAGGATTCGGTCCCATTGGTGATGTACGGAATCTTCTGGGAATCCCTGAAGACGGTTGTCTGAAACCTGCTCTTGCCTGCGGGCAACCAGCTGCTCTGGTTGTCGCAAGTGATGTACTGCTTTCCATCCTCCGTTTCATGAACGGAAAATTCCAATGACGCGGACAGGAGAACTTCCGTCTGCTCAAGCACCTCTGCCACGGTCTTCCCAGCACATGGCCGGCCGAGGGCAGCGTATTCACGCAGAAGGTACTCCTGGATGTCGGCTTTCGTTTTCCTGAGAATTTTGATCTCTGACATGAGCCCACTTAAGGCTTATTCTTTTTTGGTTGCAAAATAATGCTTGGAGAATACAAACAGACACTCACTCAAGCTGATGCAAGCTAGGTACCCAGTCGGGCGGGAATAAGGTGGCTGCCTGAACATCCCGTAGAAGACTCTCCGGACGGATTTGCAGCTCAGTGCTTCCAAGCTCGCCCTCCGGAACTGCGCAGGTTCGGCCGCTTGCATGTAATCGATCAAATGACACTCCTGGGCGGGCCAAGAAAACACGGAAGCAGGGAATAGGATGTGACACGTTGATTCTAGAAAAGAAATTCAGAGAGTAGCACAGACAAGCTTCGGGTGTGTTGCGCCAGGTGGTGTACTTCATAATTTTCCCGTTGCCCCGCCTGCTGCCTTCTTTCTTGGTACTAGTCGCGCGAGGTTTCTTGCCGCCCTTCGCCTTCGGCTTTTTGGCGCCCCCGCGCTTCTTGCTGCTCCGAGGACCAACACTCTCCGACTCGTCACTATACGAGCCCGAACCGTCTTCATCTGGTGGATCGTCAAAACCGCGGAAGCTAAAGGCTGATGCTGTCATGCGTGTAGTATAGGCAACGCTGCTCTAAGGGAAGATCTCAGAGGGCCTTTTCACTACTTAGCTGAGCCGCGCGCAGCACGGGTGCACGCACACACACATACACTCTCTCTCTCTCTCTCTCTCTCTCTCTCTCTCTCTAACAGTCACTAACACACTGCTGCTGCTGCTGCTGCTTCGATAATCCATGCCTATATGCGCTGCATGCACTCGAATCACTTTGGAGCCACCTGTGCTGCTCCCATCATCTTCGGATCGACTCTCGCTTTTAAGCGGGGTCGCTGCTATCGTGAGCAACCAGCACTGCAGCACGGCTTTGCGCTGGACAAGCAGACGGCTTGATGGCTTTGGCTCTGGAATCAGAATCTCGGGTCTGGGATGAAACAACAAATCCTGAAATCTTCCTAAGATAAGACCTGGTGACCACTAAATTTTAACCTTGAAGGTGGGATTGGGCAGCGTGTCTGTGAGGTAGTTATGTAAGCAAAGATTCCGTGCAATCTCCAGGCTAGACTATTACTGAGCAGCCATCGGTGCAAAACATGCCAGTGCTATGAGCTGGGCGAGAGCGACACATGGAAGGCTCATTGCATTTCCTGCCAATTCTGCTGCCCTCAGATAATCGCGGGCCTCCACCAGCGGTGCCCCCATCCCTGAAGCCATGTCCAAGGTAACAGGCCACCCCAGGGTGGCCAGCCGCTCGCGGGCCACCATCCACCGGTTCCGAGAAGGTAGCCACAACAAGCCAGTTCTCGAATTCATTCGCAGTGTGGGTATACGCTTGCTCACGGCGCTCCAGATCAAGGAGTACGAGGGGTTGTCTCCCAAGAACAGCACCAAGTTTTTGTCAGCGCTGGGGTCCTTAGCATAGCGTCTCCTATATTCGGCCTCATACTCCTGAAGTGCCGCTTGCTCCCTGGTAGTCAACAAACCGCGGAGGTCCACATTCTCTCCCATAGCATGCGGAGTCCAGGACATTTTGCGGCGATTGATGACTGTCATGGCTTCCAAGGAAATTTCCCAAGGATCTGCCACCATGTAGTCCTTGGGTTGCGTCCGCACCGTCCGCATCTTTCGGCGGCACTTCTCAAGCATTTGGAAAGGATCCTGCTTGCAGGACGTCCGTTCCTTGTGCGACCCAATCACGTACGTGCGCTCGCGGGCGGTGCCTGCGTGCCCGCAATCTTGGGGTGTCAGGAAAAGCTGGTACAAGTCGTAGTCCTCGTGGGTGTCTTCGACCATACCCATATCCAGAGCCTTAGCTCTATGTTTTGAGTCCTATCTCTTACTGGAAGGCAGGCACTGAATTAGGTGAGGTTTGTTTCTCTGCAGCTTGGAAACCGGGGTGCATTCAAGCACGAAAAGCGGAATCTTCTTTCGCGACAGGAACTTGCCGTGAGTCACATACACCGGGCTTGTCGGACCCTCCTGACCCAGTCTCTTGCCTGCCACGGACATATCAGTGCAAGGAAGCCCAGAGCAACCAAAGTCCGCGCACGGGACGCAACAGCGGCCAAGTCCTCCTTCACAGTGCCACACACAAGGCTGTTCCTCCACGAACACACTTCGGCAGATCCTTCTTTTCTTAGCGACAAAGCTCGCCCCAGCCCCAGCAGGCCCAAGGAGTGCAGCACAGTTGGAGTTCAGGGTTAGAATGTCCTGGAAGAGATGCGGCTTTGGGTGGCTGCACCCAGCTGCCAAGTTGCACCATTCATGATTGTCTGCCAGGATCTGCACGCACTTTGGATTGTTCTCCTCAGCTATGACCGAGGTAAACAAGGATGCCCGACAATAATAATGGTACCACAATTAAATTTAGCAGAGGCTGTTCCCTAATTTAGTGCGAACTGACTGAAGCCCGGTCACCCAAAGAGCCACTGTGCGTATGTCCATGCGGAATGGGTGTCTCGTGTCGGGGCTCTCATTGACTGTTGCTTGGAGGACTGCTCTCGCAGCCTCTGCTGTCCCAACGCCGCTGCACATGCTGAAAGCCGTCCGGGCGTGGGCTAGCCAGGAGTCCTGCTGGAGAGGCGGGTGACAAGCAGGTGGGGGAGCTTGGGGACAGGAAGGTTGTGGGTTTCGGCAGGACATGTAAACCCGAAACGTCAACCACAATCAGATACAACACCGTCCCAGAGATTCGGGTGGTGCTTCTTGACCACCTGCCAGAACACCTTCAGCGAGCCCGCTGCAGCCGTCAGCCGGGTCTTGGAAGCATCCTGGCCGCGTCTCTCGTGCATATTTATTTTACTCTTCAGAATTCATGACACAGACAGGTAAAGTCATGAAAAAAATCTTCTCCACACACACGCAGTCCTCTATGGAAGACTGGGATGCTGGCAGAACTTCAGAGTCAGCTGAAGCCGTCTGTGAAATAACTTTGGACGGACTGGTGCTGCTACTAGCGCAGCCAAGCTCATCAGGCCATAGACGCAACACGCACGGCATGGCGGTATGGCGGCATAGCAGCCGCAAAAGTCACAATGTGTGCTGCCACAGAGACAAATCTACCGCTGTTGGAGCACGCACCACGCAGCAGGAAGTGATAATATTTAAGTGGGTACAAGAATGCAGTGCACCGAGTCGCATGCGAACCTGATGTCCGCTAGTAAGCTACGTGCTGGCCGAGGTACCATTGGTGGTCCGTAAACGAGCGTGTCCTGCATGGGACCTGGCAGCAATTCATTGGGGCAGAGGTTTGGCGTGTGGAAGCAAGACCGAGCTTTGCATTTACATGTTGCACAGCTGGCTTTCTGCACACCACGAGGCAATGCCAAATGTAGGCTTGCATTGGAGCTTTGCCCACCGCTGTGCCATCAAACGACACCTGAGTTCAGCTTAAATACTGTCACCCAATGGCCCAAACCTCAACCCTGAAACCCGAAAGCTTAAATCTGAAAACCCTAAACCCTGCAACCCCAGAACTTAAACTCCCAAACCCTGAACCTTGAAACCCTTACATTCATTAAACTGGTGCCACAGCCCCTGTTCTCTGCCAAGTGCTGGCATGGTGCATGCCTGTGGATCTCACGGCCGAGCTCGCGCTTGGATGCCGTCATGTATGCAACCTGGGTGGCAAGAGGCAAAGTCTTTAATGTAGTAACCTTATTATCTCAAGCAGCCGCCATGTGAATTTTGAAAGAAGCGGAGAAAGCCACACTGTGACACTTGTGATTACAATGTGTGTTGCGGCCGCGTCACGCAATACCTTTCGGCAATGTGACTCGCCAAATGAGCCAGGGTGTTCTGAGCCTTGTCCTTCAAGCTGTCGCACGCACGGATGCCCCGTGATAGCAAAGACTCCTGGGAAAGTCAACACTCGGGACTTGAAGCAGCTAAGAGCCCTTGCTGACATCTCCTTGTGCGGAAAAGTATCGGCACGGGTTTTCACCTTTTGAATAGCTTCCCACCATGCACTAGGAGCAGACTGACCAAGCCTCAGTTGACGCCGTTTTCTGCATTGTGATTCAGTCACCGCAGCAGCCATCATCTTGTTCAGGTTGCAGTCCTCAGTAGTCAGTAAGATTTCATTGTCACGATAGTGTTACAACAGACAGACCCCAATCCTAATCATTTTCAGGACGTAGCCAGAGTCTAATAGCTTCGACATAGAATCGTCCAGCCAAGAATCGACACACAAACAGATCTGTGTCAAGAGACCAGAGACCAGCTGCTTCAACGGTTCGGTTTGGCGGCGGTGGGTCCTTAGGGGATGCAGAGTTCAAGCTCGAAACAGTGTTACAGTGTTCGCATTGCAGTAGAGGTGTCAGCTTCAACACACAGCCTCGCCTACCAGAATGTGTGCGATACACAATGCTTGGCTGAGGATCGGGTCCACTGTGAACAAGACAAGCGATGCCAGATTCAAATGGGTCCCCCAAGGACACATCCAGGACTTGGCTTCATCCTTCCAACGAGAATGGGATTTTACACTTCTGAGAACATTTTATACTAGTTTCTACGTGAAGACTAAGAACTTCTATAGTCCTGGGAGTCTGCTGTCCACGCACGCTTGAGAGTGCCCCGCTGTCTCTCACTGAGGTGGCCCAGCACAGCCGATGCAGGGATTGTTCCTGAACCTGGAACCCGAATCAAGTCCGTGCTATTGTCGCGCTGAACTTGTATACTTAGGTCTCCTGCACGAAAGCAAGCCATGAGAACCTCGAACAGGACGGCACTCGCGCGCCGGCGCTTGTCAGCTTGCTTTTTGGATGCGGAGCATTGGCTAACTAGGCAAGCCCATAACAAAGATGTAGGCAAGGTGGCTTCATGAAACTGACCTCGGCCATCGCTGTTGCTGCTTTCGGTGGATATAGGAGGCAGCAATGTAGGTGCTGCAATTCCTGGCCAAAGCTCCTCATGGCATTTGACCCATGTGGCCTGTGTTTTCTTCCGCCATTTTCCTTACAAAAGGAACATGTTACACTTCTCAACACACTAGTAACAACTACTTTTTGTTGCAACTAAGGGGCTAGCTTTCTGTTGCAACTCCTTTTTGGAATAATCTTCGGTTGGAAAAAGGCAAGTGTACAAACTCTGCACGGACCACTCGCTTTGAGTGCCCAATGCTTGGGACGGCCACGCAAGCAACTTGCCGTCTATCATGGCAAGCTGTCCTGAGTCAATTGCAACACAAGAACGTCTTAAATCTATTCTGTAGCTACCAACGAAATATAAGGCTCGTTGCTGCCGATTGTCTTACACCTGCATACGGAGTTCGAGCAGAGTCTGCAGCCATGGGAAGCAAAAGCGTACGTTTGCACGCCAATCCCAGTCCCAATCAAAGACCATTAAGCTCTCACAATCACAAATCTAAGTCGTCTACAATTTACTGCTTTCTAGATGAACCCTATCATACTATCACCATGATTTTCGGAATCTAACTTGCCTGCTGCTAGTACGGCGCGGCGTTCCACAAACATCTGGAAGCTACACTGTCATCGATGCTTTTTAGTCTGGGTTCCCCCTGATAGAGGACCCTCCAAAGCCATATAGGAGACGACCGTCATCGCGTCAAAGCTCATGGCTTTCTGAGTAATGCTGTTCATCTTCATCACCATCATCATCGTCCTCACCATCATAGTCATCATTAACAGCATCGTCACAGCCGCCGCAACAGTAGCAAAGGATCCGGAGAGTTGGAAGCGCCGTCGTCGCGGTAGAAGAGGTAGACGCCGTAACGGTATAGTAGTCGTCGTGGTGGCAGCAGCACTGCTACCAGTATGCCGCAGTACTAGTTCCCAGTACTGGTACCAAGCAACTAGTACAAGTAGCATTTAAACTACTGGAAGTAGTGGTAGTGCGCGCATCGCAGATCGGCGTCGCCTTGCCCAGTCTCCGTCGAGCATCAAGCGCCTGGCGCCCGCAAAGGCACTGGGTGACTTAGGATTGCGATGGATCTCCGTCTTCCTATCAAAGCCAGCCGTAATGAGCTTTGGGAGAACCATAAACTGAACAAAGCCGAATCCCTAACAGCCGTACTACCAGACAAAAATGGGCCCCACCACACAATCCGGAGACTGGCATTGCCAAGCCCTAGCGCAAGCACTCCCACTATATCACACCATACCATACCATACTATACTGTACTATGCTATACTATAGTATACTGTACTATACTATACGTGGGTCGCCCTTATCGGGGG